GTATGTGTGTGTGTGTGTGAGTGAGTGAGTGCATGCGCGTGTGTGTGAATGTGATACATTGCGTCCCTGTCTGTGTGCGTGCACGAACATTGGTTCTGTCTGTCTTTGAGGGCCTCGGCGAGCTCCAAGTGCTTCTTGTGGTGCTCGAGCGCCTTCATGTAGTTTTTCTGCTGCATAAACGTCGTCCCAAGACAGAAGTGCGCCTGGCACGCGTGTGGCATCGGGTGTGCGTGTGTGTACATGCCTGTATGAGATGCACGAATACATCAATGGCATCAACGACAAACGCAGCAACGACAAACGCGGTGGTGACAACGACGATGATGGAATTACAGCAACAACGCAAGCAGCAAACGCACCTGTGCTTGGGCTGCCTGGTTTCCATCCTCTTTTGCAACGTGGAGGCTCTGCTGATAGTACCTGCGCACAACAACCAAACGTGTGTGTGTGTGTGTGCGTGTGGTGGGTAAGTACACGTATGAGTTTGTACGTACACGGATGCATGTGAACGTGGAAGCGAGTCACAACAACACTGTTACACTGCCTGCGACGCAATGTCGAGCAGCAACCAACGCCAGTCACAACACACGCACACACACATACACCAGCACATACAACATGCAAGCATCATCATTACCTGATTGCCTCTGTGTATTCGCCAAGCGCAGAAAACGCGTTGCCGAGATTACCGCACGCGCGCGCTTTCGCAGCCTGATGGCGGTGTGGGTGCCGCAGGGCAAAGCACGTGTGCAGCGGGTGCATGAGGAATGACAAGCACACATCGCTCTGGGGGATGCAACAGACGCACACCAGATCGAGTTCACGCACACACAAGCACAGACGCACACTACAGCAAGGCAACAGCTGCATGCAACAGCGCGCACATACACACACACACACACACAAACACACACACGCACGCACGAGGTCGTTTGCTTTGTTTGCAATGTCGAGGCGGCGGCGGTGGTAGTGGATCGCCTTTTCGAAATCGCCAATTGCCGTAAACGCATTGCCCAGGTTGCCCACAGCCCGGCCCTCCCCTTGATGTGTGCGTGCGTGCGTGCGTGCGTGCGTGCGTGCGTGCGTGCGTGTGTGTGTGTGTATGTGCGTGTGTGTGTGTGTGTGTGTGTGTGTGTGTGCGTGCGTGCGTGCGAGTGTGTGTGTGTTTGTTTGTTTGTTTGTGTGTGTGCGAGTGTGTGTGTGTTTGTTTGTTGAATGTCGTGGGAGTTGTGTTTGTGAGTCGCGAGTAATGTAAGTGTGTGTGAGTCGCGAGTAATGTAAGTGTGTGTGAGTCGCGAGTAATGTAAGTGTGTGTGAGTCGCGAGTAATGTAAGTGTGTGTGAGTCGCGAGTAATGTAAGTGTGTGTGAGTCGCGAGTAATGTAAGTGTGTGTGAGTCGCGAGTAATGTGAGTGTGTGTGAGTCGACACGGTCGATCAGTGTGCGAGGCAACGTCGCGCACATCTGCAGACAGTTCGCAATGCGCATCAAGGCGGCCAACGGCAGCAGGGCAGCACACGACGCGTTGCTTCGGGTACGCACCGACTTCGTCCTTGAGCTCCTCTGTGATCTTCAGCGTGGCCTGGTAGTACTCAATCGCCTACAGGTGGTGGTCGCGGTGGGGAACAGGCGATCATCAGCCAACGGGAGAAAGGAGGCAGATGCGCACGCACAACTCAAACGACACACACGAACCCATGCACTTACGCACTCGTCCACGCCACACATACAACAAGACTTCCCGCACAGCCACACACACACACACACATGCATGCATGAACACACACACACACACACACACACACACACACACACACACACACACACACACACACACACACACACACACACACACACACACACACACACGGGCGGAGAGCAAGCCAAAGCTTCGCGCGAAGCCACAGGAGAAACGCCCGAGCTGCACCTGAGCACGTCATTGTCGTCCGTTCCAACACGCAGGCCGGCCTCGAAGAACTCGACCCCTCGCCAAGCCGGTCCCCAACTTCCCGCGTAATCTCAAGATGCGCCTCGCAGCACCAGCACAGAGCGTGCACCCGGCCACACGCACACATACACAAAGATGCGAACACAAAGATGTTCACACACAAACACATACACACACAAACACATGCACAAATACACACGCACAAACACATACACGCACACAAACACACACACACACAAACACTCGTACCTCGATGGAGAGCTGCATACATGTGGCCTCCATGGTGATGGTCAAAAGCAATCAGCCCCGAAGACGCAACACAGCCGTCGGTCAAAGGAGCTCAACAGGGTTTGGCTTCGCACGACTACAACCCTGCTCATGCGATGGTCAAGCAAGCAATCAAGCAAGAAAATGTCACAGAATGCACACAATATGCACAGTCATCAGCAGAATGGATTGGGGTTGTGATGTCGTGTGATTTGATGTGACATGAAAACAAAACCCCGTAAGCAGCAACACCATCAGCAGCAACGCGAGGCAAAAACAAGACACCAAAAAGCGAGAAGTTGCGACAAACCGTCACAGCAACTGGCGCTTTGAGGCACCCCCTGCACACCACACCACACCACACCACACCACACACATACACACGACTCCCACAAACACACATACATGCATTCGCATACACACGACTCACGACTCACACCACACCTCGCCACACCACATCAGCCTTCCCGCACCTGTGGTTTCGGAGGTTTTCGTCGTCGTTGTTCGCCTCAACAACAGACAAACAGCAACGGAAGCGAGCTGAATTGCTGGATTTCGCATCGAATCGCAATCACAATATGAAATGCTCGTGTGCGGTTTACGTTTTGAGTTTTGGCTGCTGTTGTGTTGTGTCCGACCAACCACCACGACCATCGACCATAATTTCACACAAAGCACACAGTCAGCCCCAACACCCAAACAAAGCAAAGACTCATCATTCTCATAAAACCATATCCGCAGCCACACATCCACTCCCACACACACACAAACACACACACACACACACAAAAACACACACAGCCATGTCGACGATGCGGAGAAAGGTGAACAGCGGCGACTTTTATGCCGAGTACCACGGCCACCGGGCTGGCCATTTGAAGGCCGTGCTGGAGGGTCTGCCTGCGGATCGCAGGCGCGTGTTCCTGGTTGGGGATTCCAGCCTCGACAACAAGCACTGGCTGTTCCGTGGAGAAAACAAGCGACTCTTCTTTCGCAGCGCACAACAGGAGGAACCCTGCACCGCGCAGGCCGTGGGCGGCTACGAGAACGTGCTCCTGCCACCGCTCATGGCCCGCGACGTCGCGTTCTGGTGCGCGCACGAGGCGGAGGCCCGCGGCAAGCCGCTCTCCGTGCTCAACTGCGCCGTGGAGGAGTCTGCGCTCGGCGACCGTGACAGAGGGCGCCACCTCCTGCCGCAGGACGAGTTTGTTCGCGACAACCTCCGAGAGAACGACATCCTCATTGTCTCTGTTGGGGGCAACGACGTTGCGCTCAAGCCCACGTTCCGCACACTGCTGTCCATGGCGGGCCTGACCTTGCTCACACCGACACGCGTCGTGCGACGCTGGCGCACGGGCCTGGGCATCGGCCACATGATCGACCTCTTCAAGACACAGGTTGAGCGCTACATTGAGGCGCTCACAGCAAAGACGCGGCCTCGCGCCGTCATCGTGTGTAGCATCTATTTCCCCTGTGCTGTCACGCAGGGCTGGGCATCCACCATCCTCAACCTGGCCGGCTATCGCAAACACCCGGAGCACCTGCAGTCGCTCATCACGCTGATCCACGAGCGGGCAACCTCGCAGGTTCGCCTTTCCCCACACCCACAAGACGCTGCAGCCACACCAAAGAACCCAAAGGCGAACAAGGACAAGAAGAAAAAGGCACGAAAGGCAGCAACCCACCGCACACAGTCCGCGACAAACTACGCAGCTCTGGAGGATGATGATGGTGATGATGATGGTGGCGGTGATCACGACGATGCCCATGACCATGAGCATAATGTTGAGTGCAGGCCTGGGTGTGGCAGCCAACATGCTGGCGAAGAAGCAGGCGAGGCGACCAGTGAGGACGATGTGGGTCCACAAGTCATCATCCCCGTGGCCCTGTCTGAGGTGCTTGATCCAAACGATGCTGGCGACTATGAGGAGCAGGTGGAGCCGAGCGTTGTTGGCGGACAGAAGATGGCCGTCCGCTTCCTCGATGCACTGGAGGATGCACATGTCATTTGACCTGCATCTGCGTTTGGGAGGCTCTTTGGATGTGTGTGTGTGTGTCTGTCTGTCTGTGTGTGTCTGTGTGTCTGTGTGTCTGTGTGTGTGTGTGTGTGTGTGTGTGTGTCTGTCCGTCTGTCTTTCCGTCCGTCTGTCTGTCTGTCTGTGTGCTCATGCCAATGCGCTCGTTCATGCACATGTCTCCGGCCTCCTCTTTTGGTTGTGATTGCGTGCCCCCATGCCATCTGCGTTTGCGTGTTCTTTGCTCATGCCAGGCTTGCTACACCCGTTCGGCATGCCCCCTCCCTTCGCCTTCTCAACCACCCTTCTATCTTCCCATGCGACACAGCGTCCCCCCCCCCCCTTCCTCGCCTCCTCGGCGTTTGCTGCTTGTTGCCTGTGTATTCATTCACCTTGAATGCATTGTTGTTTATTTTGAATGCATGTGCAGTCTTGCACGGCTGTTCTGTTACCACTGGTGTGCCCAGCGCGACGAACACAATACACATTTCCAACAGATATCGTATCAAAGCCACACTCAACGGAACACACCTCACACACCTCCCCCTTCCCCAACACTGCTTCCCTCCCTCCCGCCTCGCTTCACTGCCGACAGCAGCCTTCAACCGCCACCACTTGTGCACTAGCACAGCGGGGACATGAGCGGGGTGGTGGTGCCTGGGAAGGGCTTCTTTGCGCGCATGAAGCGAAAGGCAAACGAGGCGAGCGACGGGGATGCAAACGCGCCATCCGGCAGCTGGTACAGCCCATCGGGGCCCTTGATGAAGTCGCCGTGCTGCACGCTGCCGTCATTAGACTTGACAGACAGCACATAGTCCGAGGCCCGCAGCCCGGCCCGCGCACGAACAACAAACGTGCCCACCGGTGCTCCTGCCAGGACGCGTGCTGCTGTCTGTGCGGCCACCGCCCCGAGAAACCAGTCTGGCATGTTTGCCATCGTGGCTGACCGCGCACGCACGCCGCCATGCTCACCACCGTTACCGCCACTGTCCCCACGGCTGCCGTCACCATCAGCACTGTCGACGGCGTGGCTGCTGTGCCTGCGAGGAAGCACGCGGTGGTAGGTGCCAGACCGCGGGCGCATGCCTGGTGTCCACTCAAAGTACCCGCCTTCCTCCGTCCCGCGTACCGTACTGTTGCGTGATGGCAGCGGCGGTGGCGGTGGCCCAGCAGGAACTGTCACACGTGCGCTGTTGCTTGTTGCCGCGCCACCTGCCACAGCTGCTGTTGATGTGACCGTTGACGATCGCGACCTTGCTCCGGCGTCGGTACCTCCAATAACAGCCGACTGATCACACGCCACAAGCGTCCCCGACCGTCCAACACGAACCCCACCACCACCACTGCCGCTGCCGCTGCCATGCGTGCTTCCTCCACTTCTCGTGCTGTTGCTGTGACCAACAAGCCCGCCAAACCCAAACGTCACATCGTCCCCGCCCTCGCCGCCAACGCCATCACTGCCATGGCTTGGCTGCTGTTCCTGGTCGTACAGCGTTTCATCCACCACCCGCACCCTCAGTGGCCCCGCGGCCTTGGCTGGTCGCGCCAGCATAAACGTGGGTGTTGGCGCGTGATTCCGAGTGTTAGCACGTGCGTGTGTGTTTGACGCTGTGCGCTGCTGCGTGTGTGGGTTTGAGGACGGCATGGTTGGCGGCGTCGGGGTCTGTGCGCCACGATACCCGCTGCTCCTGTTGCTGTCGGTCGCGGTGCTGGTGGCACTGGTGCCGCCGCTGCTGTGCATGTCAAACATGCGCGTGTCAATGGCGGTCGTGTGGGACGATTGATTCCAGTTCACGCCAGTCCCACGCGCATGTATGTTGCCATTGCGACTGCGGGTGTCGTTGGTGTTGGCGTCGTGGCTGCTGCCCATGAGGGAGGCGAGCGAGAGTGCGGGCCGCGGCAGGACGCGCGGGGACGATGTTGGCGACCCGAGCGCTGATGGCGTGGACGACACCGGTGCTGACGATGATGCTGCTCCCCGCCTGCCCGACGGTTGCGACGATGGCTGCTGTCGTGATGATGGCGAACGCGATGCGTGCATGGCGTGGCGGGTATGATGGCTGCGGCTGTTGTTGTTGTTGTTGTTGTTGTTGTTGTTGTTGTTGTTGTTGTTGTTGTTGTTGTTGTTGTTGTTGTTGTTGTTGTTGTTGTTGTTGTTGTTGTTGTTGCTGTTGCGGAGTTGCGCTGGAAAGTCGGACAGCCCCGCCATGGTCCGGGCATCATACAACGGGTCATCACCATCATCATCACCATCACCGCCACCACCAGCATCATCGCTGTCGCTCTGTGGCGCCCCAGAAATGACGTCGCTGCCTTCTGCGTTCAGACCGTCAAGATCAAGCTTGTCCAGCTGCTCATACAGCGCCTCGTCGTCATAGTCGTCGTCATCATCGTCATCGTCATCGTACCCTACATGGCGCACACTACGACCACCGTCATGATGGGCTGAGAGAGGTCTTGGTGGCGGCAGCGGCGGTGGAGAAGGTGATAGTGATAGTGGCGTCGCACCGTAGTCGAGGACGACGCCGCTTGACCAGCGCCGTGGCGTGGTGCTGATGGTATTTGTGCTGCCGTTGGTGCTGCTGTTGTTGTAGCCGTCGTGACCCTGACCGCGACGGAAGTTGTTGTTGTTGTTGTTGTTGTTGTGTGACATGAGTGTTTGGTGCCGCATGTGCACCACTTGTGCGGTGCGGTGTGGGCTGGTGGCAGGCGAGCGCGTGTGGGGCGACAGTGCAAGGCCTTCGAATTGGCGTTGGCGCTCGCGTGCCAGCTCATCACCACGAGCAGCATTGTCCTCGTAGTGATGGCCAGCACCGTCGCTGCGGCGCCGTCGCCAGCTGCGACCAAACAGGAAGCTCCGTCTCCGCGACTGTTTGTCCGTCGTTGTTGCCGTCGTTGCTGTCGTTGTTGCTGCTGTTGTTGCGGGTGTTCCTTGCGTTCCCTGTACCCCATGCTCGGGCCTGCGGCCTTGCCGCTGGTGTGGCTGTTGTGGGGCGAGGTCTGCTGGAGTGAGCGTGCCGGACAGGGTTGCTGTTTCCCTGCGAAACAGCCGGTGCACTGGATACAGGATGCCTGCGCTTCGGCGACGAAGGCTCTTGCTGCGCCCACGACGAGAGGCGTCCCTGCCCTTCTTGTCTTTCTTGTCTTCCTTGTCCTTCCTGTCCTTCCTGTCTTTCTTGTCTTTGTTGTCACTTGTCGTGTGCTTCCCGCCCTCCTTGTTGCGGGTTTGCCCGTGCTCTTGGAACGCGGTGATGGAGTCCTGCAGCTGCATGGGCATGTGCGCTGCAGTCGCCAGGTCAAACTCCAAGCAGTGGCACACAAGCTGGCTGTGCTGCTGTGACGGTGGTGCGTGTGATTGCTCGGCGTGTGGTGGCTGTGCAAGCGCAATGTAGACGCTGTTGCGGATGGCGTGGGCGATCACCACGTGGGCCAGTGGCACGTGCAGCACAAGCTGCGCGTCGCCGGCGCCTTGTTCTGGCTGTTCATCGCCGCCGCTGTTGTGTGCATGTGAGGGTGAAGGCCCAAGGCGTGGGTGGACGATGCTGAAGCTGTCTGTGCCAGCAATGAGGCACAGCGGTGAGCCAGCATGTGGTGGCGCGTGGCGCGGTGCGCGGCCCGATCTGAACAACAGGTGGATGTCCTGGATGTGCTTGGCTGTGCGCGCGTCCTCCTTGTTGTCTTCAGCGCTGCCTGCCATGCGCACGTGACCCAGGTACCGCACGTTGTCGCACAGCAAGCGACCAGGCACCCCCAGCTGCTGCTGCTGCTGCTGTGACAAAGGGGAAGAAGGCGAAGTTGAAGAAGCTGGCGTTGTCATCGTCGTTGTCGTCGTCGTTGTTGCGCACTTTGTTGCGCACGCTGTCCGTGTGTTGCTGTCCGCAAATCTGCTCCTGCGAACTGCTGCCTGCTATCTAGCTGCTATGTGACTGCTGTGTGACTGCTGCCGTCAAGCTGCCCGACTGCTGCTGTCTGTCTGTTTGGCTGCTGTCTGGTTGTTGGTGATTGGTGGGAGGTATGTCCGTTTCCGCGTGAATGATGCTGGGACACGTGGTGGGTGCTGCCTGGCGATTGCTGTAGCAGCGAGATTGGAACCACCCACGCGACCAAGTCGACGTGAGCAAGTTGAGCGAGGCAGACGGGACACCCAGGTGCTGGCGAAAAAGGCATAAAGATATACACCAATCGTCGCTGTGTGTGCTTTGCTTTGCTTTGCTTTTTGCTGTGCTGTGCTTTGCTTGGCTCAGCGGTTTTGGTTTGCCACAAGTGTGGTGGTTTGGCTTGTGCACTGGTTGGTTCGGCTAAAGTGGAAGGCGGATAACAGCGAGAGAGAGAGAGAGAGACGGAGAGAGAGAGACGGAGAGACGGAGAGACGGAAGGGGGGGGGCAAACGCAATGCAAGGAGAAGGCGTGGAAGGAAAAGGGGCTACGTTGAACACGACCACAACTGGTGGCACAACTCACACACCGCACCAATCAGTCGCATCATGTCACACAACAACAGCAACAACACACCGCAAGAGCTCGAGCTCATTGCTTGTTTGAAAGAAAATGGGAGCAGAGGAAGAGAGGAAGAAGAAATGAGACGGAAACGGGGGCGCAAAGCCATGCGTGGCGTGGCGTGGCGTGGCGTGGCGTGGCTGCGGCGAAGAGGGAGGGGGAGAGGGGATGCAAGCGGCTCAGTTCTTGACGTCGATGGTCTTGCTGAGGGTGGTGCAGCTCTCGCAGCAGTAGTGGGGCACGGCGCAGTAGCCAACAGTCACCGTGTACGTGCCTGGGGCTTGGTCTGCAGCATGTGTATGTGCGTGTGCGTGTATGTATGTGTGTGTGCGTGTATGTATGTGTGTGTGCGTGTATGTGTGTGTGTGTGTGTGTGTACGTGTGTTTGGGTGGCGGAAAGGGTGGAAAGGGTAGAAAGGGAGGAAGGTGGGAACCGTGGGAAGCGTGGATGGACGGAAGAGCCAGATGTGAGCATTCGACATGGGTGAGGGTGAGACGGCGCATGGGACAGTGGCAAAAGGAGGAAGTAAGTAAGCCCAGCACCAAGCAAAAGTGTGCAAGATCGTGAACAGTGCACAACCAAGGGACGAGGACACAGGGCAAGTGCTGAAGACATGCGACATGTATCAAGTTGAAGCTGTGCAGACACACACACGACACACACGATACACATACAACATACACACGACACACGACACACGACACACACGACACACATACAACATACACACGACACACGACACACGACACACACACACCACACGCACAAAATGCAGCATAAGACAAGTGAGCAGGACGTACAAGTGTGCTGGGCCTGCTCGGGAGAGATGTGGGAGATGTTCTTCATGGAGCGGACGCCATCGCCCCAGGACACCTGCCACTCGTAGCCGGTGTACGTGACGGAGCAGTTGCCGTAGTCGGCGATAATCTCGACGGTGGCGCGCAGGCCGGGCACAGCCTCAATCACGGTGTGGTTGTCTGTCGTGTCATTTGCATTTTCGGAAGAGGAACAGTGGGGTTGGGGTGCGTGGGTGTTGGTGTGCATGAGAGTGAGCGTATGAGAGTGAGGATGTAGACAGACACACGGACACACGGACACGGACAGACACTGGGAGGCATACGAGCAGTGCGGACAAAATCACTCAACGCAGCCATCCATCAACAACAGGCAACGCAAGAACAACCTCTTTGTTTGCCCTCTTTCCCTTCCCTTCCCCCCCCCTCAAATGCACACACGCAGCGTGCATCTGTCCATAACCCAAAACCATGCACACCCTTACAACACAAACAACACAAAACACACAAACACACACACCATCATCTCAACCCAAACAAAACACCACCAAAACACCACCAAACAAACAATAGTCAGTCAAGCCAACACGCACCAATCTGAGGGGTGCATGGGTTGCATGGAGGAAGGCAGTAGCCGTTCTGGGAGAGAACCACGCCAGCAAGCACTGCCATGATGGCAGCACCAAGGAAGCCCTTGTTCATCTCTGCGGTGGTTTGAAAGTTGGAGGAGACTCGACGACAACACGCGACGCGGTGCGATGTGACAGTGGTGTGTGGCTGGGTGTTGGGTGGGAAAATGCGCACAACACTCACGTCAAGGTGTCCACCACTGCCGCTGTTCCGCTTGGTTTGTGTGGCAGGAAACTTGACCGGTATCTTTCGTTATATTTCGCCACTCACAAAAAACAGCCGACACAAAGCAAGAAGAGAGCGAGAGTGAGAGGAAACGGAACGACAAAGCGACAAGCAAGCAAGCCAGCAAGAGCGAGCAAGCGAACACGCAAGAGGAGGAAGACAGGCGCGGGTTGGTGAAGGCAGAGCAGACTGACCTGATCGACAAGAGCAGGACCCAGACACACACGCATACATAAAAGGGCTTTCTTTTGTGTACACGAACAGGCAACGCAGTACGCACGCACACGGTTTCTCCTTCGCTTCCATCGACACACAACACCAACACCAACAACCATGGTGAGATGACAACCCCACGCATGGCTTTGCTTTGTTTCCCATGCCTGGTTGTTCTGTAATGTTCACACACACACACACACACACACACACACACACACGCACACACACACACACACACAAACACACACAAACAAACACACACACACTTGCTGTCACACACCACACACAAACACACTTGCTCACTCGCTTGTTCACAATTTGCGCAGTTCCGCAACCAATACGACAACGATGTTGTCACCTGGAGTCCACAGGTTCGATGCCCTCCGCGTGCCAACTACCCTGTTGCCATTCTTGCATGCATCCTGAGAGCCCGTGTTTGTTTGCATGCCTTTGTGCGCCTGCACTCGTTTGCATGTGTGTCGTTAACCATTGCGATTGTACACGGCATGCGTGATCGTTTTCACGTTGCAGGGTCGCATCTACCAGATTGAGTACGCCATGGAGGCTGTGAAGCAGGTGTGTGCGCCGTCACTCGGGCGGCGTGCATCTTGTCTGAATGAGTACAGTTCGCTTGCCTTGTTTGTTCTCACTCGCTCACACAAACTGCTAATACGAACACGAACGTACACCCATTCACACACTCTCCCTCTGACCCGCTAACATACACATACACAACTCACACACACACACACCCGCTCTTTCCTTTCGTCTTTGTCACGTTGCCCCTTGTTTACCAACAGGGATCTGCAACAGTCGGTGTCAAGAACAAAACACATGCCGTGCTTGTCGCTGTCAAGGTACACAAACACGCGGCCCACGGCCCATGGCTGATGCCTTTTTCTCCCTCTGCTCAAGAAGCACACCCGCGTCCCACTCCCACTGCACTGCAAACATTCATGCGATCACGGATGCGACTCACCTTCAACCCCGTTCATTCCCCCTCCCGCTTTCTCAACTGCAGCGTAAGCCTTCGGAGCTTTCATCACATCGCCGCAAGGTGTTTGACATTGACACGCACGTGTGCATGTCCATCTCTGGCCTGACATCCGACGCCCGCTCTCTCGCGTAAGTGTGCATGCTTGCATGTGTGTATGTGTGTGTGCATGCTTGCATGTGTGTACGTAGATGTATGCATGCTCGAATGCACACTTGATGTTTTCCTGCCTGATTCCTTTGCATACACGCTCCCACGCACACCCACACACCCACACACACTCACTTCTCACACACTCACACACACACACTCGCACTCACTCACTCCCACTCACACACTTCTCACACACTCACACACACACACACTCACTTCTCACCCAACAACAACAACAACAACAACAACAACTGCCGCGCATGGATATGTGCAGGCGGTTCCTGCGTTCCGAGTGCACGAGCTCCAAGTGGGCCTTTGACGAGCCCCTCCCCGTCGGCAGACTTGTCAGCGCCCTCGGCGAAAGTGCGTTGTCCCATTCCAGGCCACACACTTGTGCACCCACATCAGCCCATGATTTGTCCTTGTGTGCGCTGTTACTGCTGCCCCAACTGATGCTGGCGTTCGTCGCCCGTGTGATCTTGGCCTCCCTAAGCGATCTTGGCCCACGCCTTGCATTGCGGCTCAGTGTACTCACAATTACGCGTGCGCATGTGCGTGTGTGTATGTGTAAATGCTCGTGTGTGCAGAGCTGCAGCGGTGCACGCAGTTCTGGAGCCGCCGCCCCTTTGGCGTTGGACTTCTCCTGGCCGGCTATGATGTGAGTCCAACACACACACACACACACACACCTCAACTTTATTGCTGCTCATCAATCAACATGTACTCACCCACATCCACATCCACATGCATCCATATCCACTTACACACACACACACACACATACCCATGTGCTTCACGTGACTTGTATCTATCTGTACACTCACCTCGTGTCGACCCGTGTGCTTGCGACCTGCACATGCTCCCCCCCCCCCAAAAAAAAAAAAAAAAACAAACAATTGTGACCGCTTGCGCAGGCATCTGGCCCGCACATTTACGAGGTGCAGCCGTCGGCCAACTACTTTGACTGCAAGAGCATGGCCATTGGTGCCCGTTCCCAGTCTGCCCGCACATACCTGGAGCGCCAGATGACCGCCATCGCAGACTCGGGTGAGACCATGGTGTGTGTGTGTGTGTGTGTGTGTGTTTGCAGTCTGTCCCAGCGCACATGCACGGCGTCTTCATCTATAATGTTTCGCTCGGTTTGCTCCACCATCCCCCAAGCTGACACACATGCACACAACAACACATGCAACTCATGCACGCACACACGCACACAAAAACACGTGCATGCACACACGCGCACACACACACGTGCACACACACACACACACACTGTCTCTCACGCTAGACCGCGCTGGGCTGATCCGGCACGCGCTGCTTGCGTTGCGGGAGTGCCTGCCAAGCGAGGCTGAACTGACCAGCGAGAACGTGACGGTTGCCATTGTAGGCAAGGACGAGCCGTGCAACATCCTCCGCGATGAGGCCGTCCAGCCGTACCTCGACACCCTTGAGAACGTGCGCGCCCTCTCGCTCGCATGTGCCATGTGCTGTGTGTCTGCATGTGTGCCGTGCTTTGTGTGTTTGTGTGTGTGCGTGTGTGTTGTATCATCCGCTTCTTTCGTGCTGCCTCACTCTTTGTGCCTCTACTCCCCCCCCCCCACCAACACCCACACACACACACACTCACACACTCTCTCTCTATCACGCCTATTGCTTAGGACATGGACACGGACGCATGAACGGGGCCACGAATCTGGCCAGCGCCCCTGTTGCTTGCCGCTGCAATGCATCCCTCATGCAGCAAGCCGCCTGATCTTTCACGTTTGTTTGCGTGGTTTTGTCCACTCATGTTTGTGCTCCTCTCTTGTTGTTCTCCTGTTGTCCTTGGTGTGTTTGGTGTGCGTTGTTCCTTTGCCTTGGGCACGTCCACGTTCCACAGCGCAGTACATGCCCGGCACATGCAGACACACTGACAGAGACACTCAAGAAGTCGAACCAACCCAACACAGCACAACACACACACACACACACACACACAGTGCCAACACACTATCCACCGCAAGTGTAAATTGTGTGCGAAACATACACAATGCGCACTTCTCTTGTCACTGTCGAACAAGACAAAAGAGAACGCTGGGTGCTGCATCCACTCGAACACGACTCAAGCAGCGGCTGTTTGACGCGCGAACGCACGCTCACGCTCAGGCTCAGGCTCAGGCTCACACACACTCTCTCTAACACACATACACACACACACACACACACACACATACACACACACACACACACACACACACACACACACACACATAGGAGATGGGGCGCAAGAAGAAAAAGGTGACCAAGAAGCCCGAGTACTGGTGCTACTACTGCGAGCGGGAGTTTGACGAGGAGACAGTGCTCATCCAGCACCAGAAGGCCAAGCACTTCAAATGCCACATCTGCAACAAGCGCTTGTACACGGCGCCTGGGATGGTCATCCACTGTCACCAGGTGCACAAGGTAGACGTGAAGGAGGTGCCCAACGCTCTGCCAGGGCGCGAGGACCCGGGCATTGAAATCTTTGGCATGGCCGGTATCCCCGAGGACCTGCTGGACGACAGTGAGTTGTGTATTTGGGAGAGCTATGTGTGTCTGTGTGTGTGTGTGTGTGTGTCTGTGTCTGTGTCTGTGTCTGTGTGTGTGTGTGTGTGTGTCTGTGTGTGTGTGCAGCTGTGTGCTTGTGTGTTTATGCATCTATATATCTGTCCATCTCTGTGTCTGCGTATCTGTCTGTCTGTGCGTCTCTTGCATCCCTGCGTGAATGCTTCTTGCACGGCTCGTCGTTGTACTCTGCTTCTCCCTTGTTCTCATCAAACCTATGCAACCCTGCCCCCCCCCAACTACACACACACACACACACACACACACACACACACACACACACACACACACACACACACACACACACACACACACACACACACATGTACACTTCTTCACAGACACGGCAAAGAAGAGCAAGGTGGAGCCTGAGCCTGCAGCGCCTGCTGTACCACCGCCAGGCGGCCCAGCCCCACCGCCAGGGCCTTATGGAGCACCAGCACCCGGATACCCAGCGCCACCTCCCGGCCCTTACGGCCCTTATGGCGGCTACCCAGGCGGCCCCCCGCCACCGCCGGGTGGGCCGCCGGGCTTCCCACCTCCACCCCCGCACCACTTTGGAGGACCCCCACCCCCTCCTTACGGGCACCCCCACCACGGGCCACCGCCACCCGGAATGCCGCCATATGGGGGTCCCCCACGCCCTCCACCGCCAGGCATGCCGCCACGACCACCACCGCCGGGTGTGCCGCCTTCCGGCCCGCCAGGTGGCCCGCCTTTCCCGCCACCACCGCCACCACCACAAGGGCCGCGCGGTCCGCCCCCAGGTCTTCCCCCACACGCGTACGCTCAGCAACAACAGTACCAGCATCAACCACACCAACCCGCGCCGTCGTCGGCAACGTCCGCGGCCTACCAGCAGCCACGGCCACAGCAGCCACCTGTTCCTCCTCCACCAGCTTCATCGGCGCTGGCGCCGCCAACAGCACCCATGACAAGCAACGCAAGTGCCGGGGCGAGCAACCCAGAAAAGCCGCCACTGTTGCCCGCGCCACCACCAGCGTCTGCGCCCACCACAACACCAAGCACAAGTGCGCCCCCTCCTCCGCCTGTGCCTCCTCCACCGGCGCAGGCAGCAACTGCGCAACCAGCCAACGGCAGTACACAACCCGAACAACAGCAGCAACAGCAGCAGCCACCAGCACCACCGCCCGGCGTTCCTGCTGTTCCTGGCGTACCACCGCCTGGTGTTCCAGGAGTTCCAGGAGTTCCTCCCCCAGGCGTGCCAGCACCAACTAAGGTTCGGGCGTGTGTTTGTGTGTGTGTGTGTGTCTGTGTCTGTGTGTGTGTGTCTGTGCCTGTGCCTGTGTCTGTGTCTGTGTCTGTGCCTGTGTCTGTGCGTGTAAGATTGTCTGTGTCCTTGTTTTTGTTTGTGTCTGTCTGTCCCATTTTAACTGCGACATGGGGTCACTCTGCTACGCGCAACGCTGGCATGCACCTGCCTTCTACCCTCTTCCTTCACAACAGACCTCTGGCCCACCAGGCACCGGGCCGTACCTCGTGCACCCAGACCCCAGCTTATCCCTGGTAAGCTAGCTGCCCACAACGAGGTCTTCTCAATGCTTGTGTTCGCAACGCACTGTCTTGCACTGTCTCACTCGACACAAAACACATGCACTGCGTGCAGGAGGAGTACAGGGCTTCACTGACACGATACAAACAGGCCGATGCAGCATGAACATTCCAGGATCGACCATCTCATGTCACACAAAAACACACGCTCCCCGCACTCTGCTCATGGCTGTATGTGCTGCTCTCTGTGTCCCTTCGTGTCTGTTGTGTCTCCATCTCCCGCTTTTGCTGTTGCTATAAACGCGTAAATGCAAACTAAGGCGTGCCACATCGCAACTTCATTGCCGTGCCATGTCTGTATGTAGGAAGTGCGCCATTTACTGCGAGAGTCACACCACCACAATGGGGAAGAACAACATGAACACATGCACGGAGTGACGCTTAGACGCGGGAGGGGTACAGCATCTGCATAAGCAAACAGAGCAACACAAAAATCAAGCCAGACAGCGACAGCAGCATGGGTTAGTGATGGCTGACGCAAGCAATATTAATCAACGCGAGATGGACCACACGAGTCAACACTGAACAATTTACACTAACATACAAAAATACAACACAACACGACAGCCCTTCCTCGCTTGATCTCATGTCATTGTCGTACGCGCTCGCCAATCACGTTGGTACCAACACCCATTTTCTCACACCAATTCAACAACAATGCACACAAGGGGAAGGCAACAACAACCACAACCATACACTCTCGCGTTCCCGTTCCGTTCACCTCTCATCCGGTTGTCCACTTAAAAAAGAGTACAGACAAATTAGCACACACATCACATGACAAACGTACCACGCGAACGCGAGCGCCCATGGCCTTGGGGGGAAGGGGGTTGCGGAATCGCGCGCGGACGACACCAGAGTTACCGTGGGGCCTTGTGACCTTACCCCAGATGACGCGGGTCTACCGGTCGTGATGCGGGATGATGGTGTTGGGTGAGCATGACAAGAGCACCATCAATGTGTGCGTGTTGCGTGAAGTTGACATGAGTGAGGAGAACCATGAGAACCATGAGAACACAGCACAGATGACACGAACAACCTGCAACACACACACACACCATGTTGCAATTCACACAACACCGCAACATCAGAACCACTCAGTCACGAAAGAAAGCAGGCACGCGTGTGTCAAATCAAATCATCAAAGGAAGCAGTCGCACACACCTTTGAGTCGTTGATCTTGCGGGCGGCCTTGTACACGTACGCAACACGCTTGCCGAGGTAGAACTGCGCAAACACATCAAAAGAGCGACCGATGAGCGAACACGCCATGGAAGGGGTAACAAAACAACATGCCGTGCGTGTGCGTATGTGAACCCTCGCATGAATGACACTGCATGCCTTGACAGATCCACGCGCACTCACGCACGTCGGGCCTCTCTTCCACCACACACACACACACAACACACACTCTCTTGCGCGACGAGACGTTGAGAGACCACAGTAACAACACGTGGCCAACAGGTGGGCCCGCCCGTCGTCCCCACGCAACCACTCTGCGCACCCTCACAAGCACGAAAGTCCTCAAGCACAAAGAATAAGAGACGCACGTCTGTGTCAGCCTTGGAGTCAACACCCTCGATCCTGATGAGGGAGGTGTTGGTCTGCTGGTTGTGCTTGCCACGGCGGTAGCCGAGGAAGACGGCCTTGGAGTACAGACGGGTCTTGGTCATCCTGAAGGATTAGCCAAAGCAACGAGGCAAGGTGGTTGTTGTTGGCGCCTGCACAACAAAAGAGAGAGAGAGAATCAAAAAGAAAGAACACAGGCAAGAGAAGGGGAGAAAAGCGAGCTGGAAGTCAGAGATGGGCGACAACCTATGCATGAAACAAAAGAACACACGTGCACAAAGTGGTGTGACAACTGCTGCTGCTGCTGCGGCCGCTGCTTTATCTTTCGTCAGTGCATGCACAGCATGCGCGTGTGCGTATTGTTGAGTGTTGGTGTGCGCTGCGGTTGTTCTTGCTTGTTGTTGGTTCACGTGCCATTCGCGAGTACACTCCGAACCACGCCGCACACTGCACGCTTGCTGTAGCTTCCGCTGTTTCTGTGTTGGGAGGCGAGCACGCGCGCGGATACACCACAGCAACGACTGCTGCTGCGGTTGCAGTTGGCGGCACCACACCTCTACACGTCACACACATACACACACAACCATGGCCGATGTCGTCGATCATCACCACCGCATGCATGCAGCCATCGTCCAACCAAGCCACCCAGCAGCTCATATCAGCTCTCTCTCTCTCTCTTGCTCATCTCGTGCACACGCTCACCTTGGGTGGGAGAAAAAGGCACGTTGGCTCAATTGCGGGTTTGCCTTCATTTGAGAAAGTCCAAATAGTTTTTCGTGGTGCAGGCTTGGTTTGTTTGCCGCACATGAACATCGGCGGAAGTTATCAACAAACTATCCACGAAACCTTCCTCACAGTCAAAGGCAAACTTGCCTTTTAAAGTCACCAATGCTGACTTTTCTGTTGGCCAAGAAAACTGCTGTCAGCAATCAGCCTGCTGCTTGCAGGGCTTGCCGCAAAACCTCGCAGTGCGCACTCGACATACGATCGTTGGTGTGATCTCCACGTTCCAGTTGTTGGCAAGCAAGCAACAAGGCAAAACAAAACAGCACGAAGCAACCAAGCGACTTTGAGGTCTGTGTGTGTGTGTGTGTGTGTGTGTGTGTGTGTGTGTGTGTGTGTGTGTGTGTGTGTGTGTGTGTGTGTGTGTGTGTGATTTGATGTTGTGACGGGAGCGCTGTCAGCCATCTTCAAATTGAGCCGCATCAACTGCTGCTGACGGCTACACGCACCTCTTCAAATCAATGTTCCGCTTTTTGCATTGCGTCTTGCTTGCTTCCTTCCTTACTGGTGAGCCTGCTGGAAAACCGCTTCCTTATTTCCTCCGTTGTGGGCACCCTGTCACACCCACATGCGTTCACACACACACACACACACACACACACACACACACACACACACACACACACACACACATACACATAAACGTTCCCGCATTCACAACCATTCACACAAGTCCAACATCACTCGCTTGGTTTGCTGCTGCACATCACTTAAGGTGCCACACCAAGCCAGCAAACCCATTTCGTGGAATCAAAGCTGGGCAGGTAGGCGAGCGCATGTGTGCATGCGCGTTCATTCACATGTGTGTGCATTATTTTGTGTGCGTGCGCCGTCCCTGCCAAACACGGCCGCCATCATTGCCGTTGTTTTCCCCGAACGCCGGCCCCTTCCTCAACCTTCCCTCACAAGCAAGCGATTGCTTTGTTGGCCTGTGTAGATTAGTGGAAGTAAGGAGAGATAACAGAGATTAGGAGATGTCGCTGTGGCGCGTGACGCAGCGCCTGCCAGAGGTGCGGGCCCTGTACGGGCCCCACTTCCCGCTGGAGATTCGCCACTACTTTGCCGACTGGATCGAGGCACAGCCCTGGCAGGCCGTGGCCGAGGAGAACAACGCCGACCGCGCAGCAGCGCTGACACAATCCCTCATCGGCGCCGTCAAGGAGCGCCTGGACGAGCAGCGTGCCAACACACAGTCCGACACATTCATCCTGCAGACCCAGCTCTCGCAGGCCCTGTCCACATTCGAGACCACGTACGCGCTTGACCCGCTCACCCTGGCGCAGTTCCTGGCCAAGGCCATGCAGTTTGAACAGCAGCACGCACAGTACAGCAGTGCGGACGGCAGCGAGTTTGAAGATGTCAAGGACCCGACCACCACCATCATCAACCACGGCTTCTCCTCCGTTGTCCGTGATGTTGTGCAACAAGCACAGGTCGCCCACCAGGTAGGGCACACACACACACACACACACATACACATACACGTGCGCGTGGAGACGTGCGTGGATGCGTGCTCACGGAGACGTGTGCACTCACATACGCACACACACACATGTGCTCACTCATTCACACATGCACACATGTGCGCACATGAACTTGCTCACTCACACACTCACTCACACACTCACTCACACACTCACACACTCACACACACTCTTTTTCTCTCGCACACAGACGGTGACGGCGGACATGCCGCAGCTGGAGCAGCGGCAGGAGACGTTCCTCATCAAGTACCACGGGTTTGTGCAGGTGGAGAACGAGTTCAAGTCGCTGCAGCAGCAGGCAGCCACCAGCAACGACCCCCAGCTCAAGCAGTACCTTGCATCCATGGTGCAGCAGAAGCAGAGCACGCAACAGCAGCTCACCGACGAAGCGCAGCAGCTTCTCGAGGCCAGACAGGTGTGGCGTGTGTGTGTGTGTGTGTGTGTGTGTGTGGTGAAGGAGGGCTCGTGTTTTCTGTCTGCACGTGTGCGTTTCTGTGTGTCTGTGTGTGGGTCTTTTGATCTGTGAGTGGTTGACCCGCGCGCTATCCAATGCTCGACTCGCCGTTTTGAGCGTGGTTCAAGCGACAGGTTGCCTCACCTTGCGTCGCCGTCACGTGCCCACTGTTCTTTAGGCGCTGCACAGCACCATCGCCCGCGCCGCTGACACCATCCAGTCTGGCGCAGACGGCCTCATCCAGCAGCTCGAGGTCGCGTGCTCCGCTTGTGTGTGTGTTGTGTTGTGTTGTGTGTTTTATGTGTGTTGTGTTGTGTGTTGTGTGTGTGTGTGTCGACTCCTTCATTCACGAGCACCTGCGTATGCTTCTGCGTACAATAATCCTTTCTCCTCTTTACCACGTCCTCACACCATACCTCGACCACCACCACCATCGTAATTGCGTACATGTGTGTGCAGCGGTGGCGGGCTGCCCAGCGCCAACACACGGCAACACAGCAGCACCTCACCCTCGCCCTCGACACCATCCAGCAGTGGGCAGGTCGGTAGCTATGCATACGCTGGTGTATATGTATGTGTGTGGCTGTGTGTGTGGCTGTGCGTGCTTCTGTGTACCCATTTTCCTTGACTGGTTTCTTCGAGCATCCAGTGCTCAGGCGTTTTGCCCACGTCCCCACTCCCAAACTCACCCGTCTACACATACGCATCTCCCCCCCCCCCAAAAAAAAAAAACAAAAAAAAAAAACTCACACCTTGCACCGTTGGTCTTCTCCGTGGCACAGATTCGCTGATGACGCAGGTGTGGCAGATTCGCCAGGTGACAAAGCTCATGTGCAATCTGCAGGTGCGCCTCCCACTCAACCCGCAGTCTGAGAAGCAGTTTGACACCATCCTCCACGCCATCAACAAAACACTCGCCCTCCTCCTCCACAGGTGTGTGTGCGTGCGTGTGTGTGTGTGTGTGTGTGCGTGTGTGTGTGTGCGTGCGTGTGTGTGTGTGTGTGTGTGTGTGTGTGTGTGTGTGTGTGTGTGTGTGTGTGTGTGTGTGTGTGTGTGTGTGTGTGTGTGTGTGTGTGTGTGTGTGTGGACGTGAAGTGCCTTTGACCCTCCATGTGAGCATGGTTGTTGAGCTTGCAGGCTCCAGCAACATAATTACTCCCCACCGCCTACCCCACCACTGACGCATCTCACCAGCCCCAATTGCTCCACCCCCCCCCTCCCCCTCATTGCACCACACCCGACTGCCAGGTCGCTGGTTGTTGAGCAGCAACCGCCACAGGTGCTCAAGACCCAGTCGCGTTTCCAGGCCACCGTGCGTCTCCTTGTCGGGCCGTCCCTCACCCTCCACCTCAACCCGCCCGAGGTCAGCGCGCACATTGTGAACGAGCGCAATGTGCGTGAGATTCGCCAGACAACGCTGCTGCAAGAGGGCGGACAGAGCATGCAGTTGCCGCTCCCAGACCCTCCATCCAGTGGTGATATTCTCAACAGCAGAAAGGTGTGCGCATGTGTTTTTTTTTTCTTTGTTTGTGCTCGCAGTGTTTTGCTTCGTGCGTGCATTTGTTTGAGCGTGTGTATGTATGTATGTATGTATGTGTGTATGTATGTGTGTATGTATGTATGTTCGTATGTATGTATGTATGTATGTTCGTATGTATGTATGTTCGTATGTATGTATGTTCGTATGTGAGTGTGTGAGTGTGTATGTGTGTATGTGTGTGTGTGTTTCCTCGCTTGGGTGGGCGTTTGGTTGTTTTCATGTGTGCTTGCGAGTGATTGTGAGTTCATGCTTGCGTGCTCACATCTGTCGCTCCATCGTCACTCCTTCAAATGATGGTGTCGTGTACAGGCGATGGGTGTTCAGCCAGGGAACAATGCACTCCAGGTTGGCTTCAAGACGCTTTCCCTTCGCAAGATCAAGCGCACCGACAAATCAGAGAAGATTGATCATGTGAGTGTCCACGCAGTCCATGAATGGACGTGATCGTGATTTGTGCGTGCATATGTGTGCGCATGCGTAATTTACGTGCGCCTCAACCTACCTGTCTGCTTGCTTGCTTGAATGCGCACGCATTCAATGCCTCATGTACGCGCGCGCGTGTATGTCAGCTGTGCACGTGTGGCAATCGTCGCTCACGTGCCATGTACCCCACACACACACACACACACCACACCACACCACACCACACCACACCACACCACACCACACCACACCACACCACACCACACCACACCACACCACACCACACCACACCACACCACACCACACCACACCACACCACACCACACCACACCACACCACACCACACTACAACACACACACACTACAACACACACACTACACACACACCACACCACACCTCTCGCCCGATGCGAATGAGAACAGACTGTAACAGAGCAGAAGTTCTCCATCTGCTTTCGCGTGACCGTCACGCTGCCCGGCGGTGACTCTGTGAGAAACGATGGTGGTGGTGTGCATGACGAGTGTTTCGGTGGTGTGATGCTGTTGCTGTGTGGCCTGTGTCCTGCCGTTGATGGCGTCGGTCTTGAAATAAGTGAATGCAGCTTGTTCTGTCTCTGCGCACACACAAAAGCACGCACACATTCGCGCACGCATGCACCCACGCCCAACTTGCCTCACATGCATGTGCATCACCCACAACCATCACAGGTGTACCTGCTGCAAGAGCTGTCGCTGCCTGTCGTGGTCGTTGTTCATGGTAACCAGGTTCCAGGTGCTGAGGCCACCGTTCTCTGGGACAACGCATTTGCGCTTCCCGGCCGGGTACGTGTGTCTGTGTCTGTGTGCCTGTCTGTCTGTCTGTGTTCTTAATTTTGATCTTTTTTTTTTTGTTTTCCTGGTTTGGTCTGTCGTGAAGGTGCCATGAACCATATTCACAAATATGGACGCCTCCGCTTGTTTCCCCATTTCCAACACACATCCGCGGTGCAACCTTGCCCACTCAATGGATTGCCCTGCCCTTCTACCCGCACGCACACACAATCACTGCGCCGACAGCTTGGGTTAGAGACTGAGCAGGCTGTGCAGTGGCAGCAGCTGGCGCCGCACATCAAGCAGTTCTGGATGAACGCAAAGCTGAAACCTCTCAAGGACGAGCACATGAACTTTCTTGCGCAGCTTGCCGGTGTCAGCGGTCAGTTGTTCAGGACAGAAGCCACTGGGGGATTATGGTTGGTGGGTTGTGTGAGTGGGCGGGTGAACAATTAGCACTGTTGCTGCTGCTGCTCATGCACTCGCCTCCTTTTCCTTCCCCCCCCCCGCGCCTCACCTTCTTTTCCCCGCTCCTCCCCTCTGTCTTTCCAACAGGGCCACATGACACAATCACATGGCATCGCTTCAACAAGGACTACATGGTTGGAAACCTCTTCACCTTCTGGGAATGGTTCTACGGCTGCTTCGACACCGTTCGCAAGGTGCCTTTGATGCCGCTTCCGTGCTCTTACGACTCAAGCATGTGTGTGTGTGTGCGTGTGCGTGTGTGTGTGCGCGTGCGTGTGCGTGTGTGTGTGCGTGTGCGTGTGCGTGTGTGAGCACTCTTCGCTTTGCTCACTGTGTTTTGTGCAATGTTCCTCGCCTGTCACTTCGCCTTCACCCGTCCTGCCATGTGCACATGCGTATGCAGCACATCCGTGCGCTCTGGGACGAGGATCTCGTGTACGGGTTCATCGATAAGGACGAGACTTTTCGCGTCCTTGCCGTAAGCAAAAACCCAACGCGAGCCGTGCGTGTGTGTGTGTGTGTGTGTGTGTGTGTGTGTGTGTGTGTGTGTGTGTGTGTGTGTGTGTGTGTGTTTACATGTATGTGTGCGTTTACGTGTATGTGTGTGCGTTGACACGTATGTATGTGTGCGTTGACACGTATGTGTGTGTGTATTCAAGAACCTGCTTTACTCGATCTTGGTCAGAGATGACCTTTCTTCACAGGCATTCACTCACACCACATTCACACGCTCGCACAAATGCACACCCCGCACACACATCTACACACTCCCGTCGCGTGTTGTAACAGGGGTCACGACCTGGCACGTTCCTGGTCCGGTTCAGCACATCGCTTGTGAGCGGCGTGAGTGTGTCGTGGGTCGGCCCATCGCCAGATGGTATGCAGGTGTATCACCTGCAGCCATGGATGAACAAAGACATCTCCATTCGCTCGCTCGCCGACCGCGTCAGTGATTTGGATCAGCTGCAAATCCTGTACCCAGACCGCCCAAAGCACGTTGCATTTGCACACCACTACTCGGGAGAAGCAAAGGTTGGTATTTCCGTCTTTGCCTGTGCGCACGCCTCTTGTGGTGTGCATGCGTGTACATTTGTAATGTGTATACGCATACGCGCGCTCGTGCATGTGTTTGACACGTGCCCCGAGTACAAACGCACGCACACACGAATTTGAATGCACACGCATGTAATTCCCGCCTTGTTTCTTCCGTCATGCTGCTCAATTGCCATTCACCACAACCCCAAACACGTGTCACGGCTCCTTCCCCTTGCTCCGCTCTTCCAAGAACTCCAAGCTGTTGACCAAAGGATACATCCCAGCAGACCTCAAGGCATTCATCAACCCAACAGATGTGTCGAACGAGCCCATGTATCAGCCGCGAAGCGACATCTCGCACCAGCCGCAAACGTCATCATCGTTGTCGTCCTCACTCGCACCTCCCCAGCAGCCCCTGGTGTCGCAAGAGCCAAATTGTGAGTTTCAACACGCATGTGTTGTATTCTTGGTTTGGTGTGTGTGTGTGTGTGTGTGTGTGTGTGTGTGTGTGTGTGTGTGTGTGTGTGTGTCTCCCGCTTC